AACTTTCTGTGGTATTCTGTCTTCTTTTTCCATCAGTGAGAAGATGTTCCTTCAACATTCTGCTGGGTGATAACTAATCTGAATCCAAAGCAGCAGCGTACCATATACAACTGCTACTTCCTAACAGCACATCTATAATGGCTGAAAAGAGACTTAAGTGCTAGTTTGTTGGTCGTACAGATAGAGCCTTTTTAAACCTCCGCCAAGGGAGGAGGTGTCTGTCTGTCTGTCCGTCCGTCCGTCCGTCCGTCCGTCCGTCCGTCCGTCCGTCCGTCCGTCCGTCCGTCCGTCCGTCCGTCCGTCCGTCCGTCCGTCCGTCCGTCCGTGGACAAAATTACTCAAAAACTTGTGGATGGATTGTCATAATTTTTTATCACATGTGGGTACTGGCCAAAGGAACACACCATTAAATTTTGGTGATGATCCAGATCACGATGAGGAATTTTTCTTTTAATTTGCGCGAATCAGCCAGGCTACGCAAAGTGTCATTACGTCAGATGCATGCCTGTAGGAAACAAGAAGTGAAGTCGCAAACTCACTGGGACTACACCTCCCAGGATGTTTACTATCGGTAAAATTGTGATTATTCTGTTATCAACTAGTTTTGGTGATGTTACACGCTGTTTGGAGACGTAGAGAAAGAAATGCTATTCTCTTCACGTTACGGGAATAACTGAGAAGATGCTGACWGCTGGGGGAGGGTCCTGCTGTAGCCGAGCCGAAGCTGGACTGTCCGCGGGAACAGCTGATCAACCATGTGAGGTACCTCCTCCACATAAGTACTTTATTGTGTGATTGCTCTGAAGTTCGTGGGAGTTTGTGCTGAAAGCGCTCACATGCTGTATTTTGCTTCAATCACTAGCTTTCGAAAAAAAATAAAATAAAAGGTGACTGTCCTACCAGGAAGCAGCAGGTTATAAAGATAGTCAAACCATTAAAAACTCATGAATGGGGATAAAACAGAAGTTTTACACAGYGGAATCTGACTGATGAAAACTTAGGAGCTTAATCCGGGACCAGTTTGTGTATGAATAACGTTGGATGATGAGTCTCTGAACTTTTTTTCACATTGGATTCCACCAGGAAGAAATCCCATGCATACTGCCTGCTTAAATGTTCGCTACGTCAGAACTTATTCGGCAAATGTGTTTCCATCGCTCCTTTTTGCACATTAACTCTATTGTAGGATGAGGGAAATTGGCCTTGGTGGAGGTTTGCACTCTCCGAGTGCTTCTAGTTTTTAAATGTGAGTGGACATTTATCAGCTTCAATCAAATGTAGTGAAGCAATGTGTGAAATACAACACCTTTAGATCAGCAGAATCCCACACTTAGTTCTGTAACATCTTTCCCTGTATCAAATGTGCAAAGCAGTAAATCAATCGGAATTTTAAAGTGCATGCAACTAATGTTGTTAGGTTAAATACGGCCCAGTTTGGTTGTTAAATGTTGCTTGTATAATGTTTAGTAAATGTTTTTTTTTTTTTAATACCCCAACAAATGCTCTGGAAAGCAGGTAACTGCAGATAAAGCTCTGTAACTGGTCTTTGCAAGACCTGTTGCAGGAAAACATCCAGGTCTTGACCTTGCTGCCAGAGTGCTGAGGACCTTGGGTTTAGCTGTGAGAAGATCCATTACGAGCAGCTAAAAGTTGTATGGATGGAAGTCAAGGTCTCAGTGAGCAGGGCGTATTTAAAGCAGGTGTGCCCATGCGGAGAGAACCCTCATGTCGACACTCTCCTTTCCCTAATCTCAACCTTCAGACATGATTACAGCTCTCGCTCGTTGCTTCAGTGTCCGTCTCTGTCTGCTGCTTTCATTTCTTTCTTTTTTTGTTAGCCATTCCATCAGCCAAAATGTTTAAACAAGATGTTAAATTCAGATGTRTGCTTGAGCCCAGAGTGACATTTGTTTAATACAGTCTTGGGAAAAAGACAGTACACCATCTGCCAACTCTAGGGTTTTACAATCCAAGACATAATAAAATGATCAAGTGCCTCATGTACAGACTTCTGTAGATTTTCTACTGAAACATTGTGTTGATTTAAATCAAGAAAATWTATATGCACAAAAAAATCTTTCATCTTCTTTTGGCTGTTCCCTCTTTAGGGGTTGCCACAGTGAGTCATTGTCATCCTTCCAACTTTGTCCTCTGTATGTCCTCTGTCGTCACTCCAATTACCTCCATATTCACTCAAACTGTAGTTCAGATGTATTAAATTGTTGTTTTGTTAGGTTTATTATCTTTGTATATCCTGATTAACATGGAACTAAACATACATAAGACAACTCATTAGACATCCCTCCTTTTAGATATTCAAAYAAATGCCAACACTGAACAACCTGCAGTTTGATTCTCTTTCTGCACAAACATAAGTCATGTCTAATGCTGCTGTTAGGTTGGGACAAAAATATAATAAACCTTTAATTCCACAATCAAGAGATTTACTGCATTTTAACACAGCCCCACAGTGTACAAATTATTTCACTGATCAAATACAATCTGGTATTTATTAAATGTTCTCTAAAATACAAATGTACAGAGTGCCATTTGTAAAGCAGCTTGTGCTAAAAATAACAGCCRAATTTGGTCACATTTAGCTTCAAACTATGTTTAAAAAAGTAGTGGGGATTTTCTAAAGTCCCCTTTTAGCATATCCATCCATCCATCTTCTTCTGCTTATCCAGGGTTTGGTCACCAGGGCAGCAGCCTAAGCAGAGAGACTAAGACTTCCCTCTCCCCAGTCACTTGGGCCATCTCATCCAGGGGAATCCCAAGGCATTCCCAGGCCAGCTGAGAAACATAGTCCCTCCAGCGTGTCCTGGGTCTTCCTCTGGGCCTCCTCCCAGTGGGACATGCCCAGAACACCTCACCAGGGAGGCGTCCAGGAGGCATCCTAACTAGATGTCCGAGTCACCTCAACTGGCTCCTCTAGATGTGGAGGAGCAGCGRCTCTACTCTGAGTCCCTCCCGGATGACTGAGCTTCTCACCCTATCTCTAAGGGAGAGCCCAGACACCCTGTGGAGGAAACTCATCTTGGCTGCTTGTATCCGCAGTCTCATTCTTTCGGTCACTACCCAAAGCTCATGACCATAGATGAGGGTAGGAGCATAGACTAACCGGTAAATCAAGAGCTTCGCATTCTGGCTCAGCACACCAATCCGCCTGTCAATCTCCCACTCCATTCTTCCCTCATTCGTGAACAAGAACCCAAAATACTTAAACTCCTCCACTTGGGACAGGACCTCCTCCCTGACCTGGAGGAGGCACACTACCCTTTACCAGCTCAAGACCATGGCCTTGGATTTGGAGGCACTGATCCTCATCCCGACTGCTTCACACTTGGCTGTGAACTGCTCCAGTGAGAGCTGGAGATCACGATCTGATGAAGCCAATAGGACCACATCATCCACAAAAACCCTAAGGCCACCAAAAAGGATTCTTCAACACCAATGCACCTAGAAATTTTGTCCAAAATAAGACATGAACTAAATCAGTGTTAAAGGGCAACCTTGGCAGAGTCCATCTCTCACCGGAAACGAGTCTGACTTACTACTGGCAATGTAGACTAAGCTAGTAAGTTGTACAGGGACCTAACAGTGCATATCAAAGAGCCTGGTACCCTATACTCCAGGAGTACCTACCATTGGACTCTCCAAGGGACAYAGTTGAACGCCTTCTTCAAGACCACAAAACACATGTATGCTGGTTGGGTGAACTCCCATGAACTCTCCAGGACCCTGCTGAGGGTGTAGAGCTGGTACGCTTTTCCACGACCAGGACCAAAACCACACTGCGACTCTCTGACAGACTCTCCTTTCCAGGACCCCTGAATAGACCTTATCAGAGAGGCTCAGATATGTGCTCACTCTGTGATCCCCTCTACAGTGTGAAGATGGCGGCTGGACCAAAGGTATATTTTATGACATTTCCTGGCCACAAAAATCTCTCTTCCACTTTTGCATTATGTTTAGCTAGCTGCTCARAATAATGCCATGAAAATCATGTTTTCCATGTCCTCTGTTGTCACCAATGGGTGGAGAAAATGGCTGCCACATCAACCCCCCCCCCCCCCCCCCCC